ATTATATAATAATTATGTTTGATGAATACTGATAAGGTTTTTGGCAGGTTTCCCTTACTCTTGCAAGGACCTTGATATTCATAGTTTCCTGCCGAATTATTTTTTTACTTAGAAGAAATGTAAAAAAAAGAAATGTTAAATCTGTAAAATTATTTCATCGTCTATCCTCGTCATAATTTATCCACATAATTACTGCATGCTAAGAGGTATGTCTAATTTTTATATATAGTTTTTTATATAGTTTTATTTTTTTTTGAGGCGACTAACGACGTCATTCGTTTCACGAATGGATTAGATACTCTACTGGCGCTTTAGACTACGCGCATGCGCGAGTGTGGCATATCTGGCATCATTGTACACACGTCAGCAGATCTACATTCTATTGTATCACTGATTGGAATATGTGACGTCAATAATGTAGAATTTCTTTATCGCGAAGTGATTGGATCCCTTATTTTTCTTACGCAATTAACACGTCAGATTTAGCATTTATTGTTAACTTTCTTAGCAGATTTTTATCCAAGATTTTTATCTTCAGAAGAACATTGAGATGCTAAAAAGAATTTTTCGTTATCTGCGTGAAATGAAACTTGGAATCAAATATTGAAAGAGGAGTGATGAGGTGACACTGACAGGCTATTCAGATGCGGATTGCGCGGGAAACACAAAAACTAGACGATCCACGATTGGTTATATTCTTATGGTCTTAAGAGAAACTGTCATGAACATCGCAACGCCAAAGTATAGTTTTTTTAAGTACGACCGAAGCGGAATATATTGCAGCGAGTACAGCTAGTAGAAAGCTAATGTGTTGCGACGTCTGTTGTGTGATATCGATTGTCGAGGTGATCAATCATCAATTTTGTTCATTGAAAGCCAAAGTGCAATTAAATTAATTAAGAACCCAGAGTTTCAAAAGAACGAAGCACATTGACATTCAATATCATTTTATACGAGAAAGATTTTTTGTGGAGATTTAATCATAAAATTTGTTAGCACGAACGAGCAATGTGCAAAAAATTGAATGTCTTGTTAAAAAGGATAGGTTTGTCTGTTGAATCAACAACACACGTCAAAGTTATTTGAAATAGAATACAATAGTGGGAGTATTAAGTATTTTTTGTTTTGGAAAGGATATTTTCATGTTCTATTTGATTCGTTTATTTATGTTCTTGTAAATCTGACCTAAGGTGATACTGTGCATTCACAAATACAAGATTAATGTCTGCACTCTATCATATATTTTTTTTTATAGTATTGTTTGCGTGCTCCACGTTTTTTGATGCGTTTCTGTCGACAAATTGGTTAAGTTCGTTTATGTATTTTGTTTTGCAATTTGAGATAAAAACGGATTCTGAAGTATCTCGTGTTCCTGTCTTATTTTTCTTTCTTCGTCATTTGGCGGATCATACAAAATTTTAGTTTAACCTTAACATGCTGTTTTTCTATAAAGTTGATAGTATTTCTACTGAAAAAATTTCGCTGAAATTATTTTACGTTTTGGAAAATTTTAGCGAAATTGCTGAAAATTTGTTGAAATTTCACTGAAAGTGAATTTTTCAGCTAACATTGAAAAATCGCTGAAATTTTTCTGAAAATGAAGTGAAATTTTTACTGAAACTTTGAAATTTTGTTGAAATTTTGCTGAAAATGAATTTTTCAAACTAAAAATTGCTAAAATTAAACTTAAATTTTTCTAAAATGTTAAAATTTTGTTGAAAAATATTCCAAAATGTGGAATAATTTCAGCAATTTTTCCACCAGGGACTTGAGTAAAAAATGATTGAAGATCAATATTCGGCGATTTATAATAATTGATGATATTAATATCTTGTTAACTATTGCGAAAATTATGAAATGGTACAGGACTTTTCAATTCAGTTTAGTCCGCTCTATCCCTAGTCATTTATCAAACACCCTATATAGTTCTCTCTATCTGCACACAAAAATTCTTTCATATATTGGGACTCCTAGTATATTATAATATATACATATACAGGATATCCCATTTTAAATAATGCATTAAGATTTTTCGAAAACTATGATAAATATGAAAAAATGTTTCAAACAAAAGCTATGTAGTTCGGAGAGGGACAAAAGAAGGTACTATTGATTTGACCTTGAGTGGCGTCACCAAAGTTAAGTCAAGATACATTTTTTAAATGGGACACCCTATTTTTGATGATAGAATCTAATAGTTGGTGTTAAGAGCTTTTCAAAACACTGTAATAAAGTTATCTTTTATTACGTATTAGGTGTACAACTTTGCTTTCGCCGTTTTCCTATAGATGGCTTTAGCGATAAGTGATGGTCGAAATAAATAGATCATAGATGTCATACAATAAACTTGGGCATCTGTCAACATAACCCCATAGAAACAGTCGATTTGTGTCTGCATCATAAAGTTATTCTCGATTGAAAATGTCAGTTTACGAGCCAAATTCTCATCATTTGCGGGAGGTTTTAATTTTTTGCTTCAATATGAAGAAATCTGCGGCTCATCGAATGCTCTCAAATACTGATGGTGAGGCCGCTATTAGTGAAAGAACGTGTCGTGAGTAGTTTCAACGCTTCAAGAACGGTGATTTTGACGTCCAAGGTCATGCTCTGTATTTGGTGGGACCAGCTCGGCGTAGTGTATTATGAACTGTTAAAACCGACTGAAACAATCACAGGTGATCGGTATCGAACGCAATTGAGCCGAGCATTGAAAGACAAACGGTCGCAGTACAACGAGAGACACGATAAAGTGATTTTGCAATATGACAATGCTCGACCCCATGTTGCGAAAGTGGTCAAAACATACTTGGAAACGTTGAAATGGGAAGTCCTACTCCACTCGCCGTATTCTCCAGACGTTGCTCCCTCTGACTATCACTTGTTTCGATCAATGGCACACGGCCTGGCTGATCAGCACTTCCGGTCTTATGAAGAAGTAAAAAATTGGATCGATTCGTGGATAGTCTCAAAAGATGACCAGTTTTTTCGATCGCGGGATTCGTACGCTATCTGAAAGATGAGAGAAAGTAGTGGCCAGCGATGGACAATACTTTGAATCATAAATGTATAACCAATTTTTTACAATAAAACCTCGAATTTCGGAAAAAAAACGGCGGAAGCAAAGTTGTACACCTAATACTTTTCGAATTACAAGGCTTGAAAGTTACAGTACTGTTGGCATTAGTATTATGCAAGATGTCCAGCTAAAACCTCTTGAATATTGTTCGGGATCATGTCCTGAATGACATTTGTCAAGATCAAAATCAATGAAGATTGTATCTTTTATTTTAATTTTTATATAAAAATGAATTTTTAGTACAAAATGAAAATAAGAGGAATACTCTCCAATGGTCTTGCCTAATGCCGGCAATGCTGTAACAAGCTTTATAACTCGAAAAGTATTTAATGAAAATGAACTTAATTATAGTTTTTTGGAAAACTCTCTAGAATAAGTTACAAGAATGTATAATGAAAAATGGGGGAATTCCATTAAAAAAATTTAAAGTGATCTTGCCCTCACCGTGACAACAGCACCAAAGGTATCATCAAACCAATGGTATCATGTTATGTTCTCCTCAAAGTCCCAAAACTTTTGTCCGATATATTTTTCCCTAAAGACTAAAATGCACTGTTCAAGAGATATTTGAGGAGATCAATTAAAATAGGACAATCTGTATATACAAGGTGTCCGATTATGACTGCATAATCTCCTGTGAGTAGGTAGAGAAAATTAAACTGAGTTGAAAAGTTCTTTATTATTTTACAATTTCCGCAATAGTTAACGAGATATTAATTTCTAAACATTCCCAAATAAGCGAATAAAATCGACGTATAAAATAACTTTAAGATATTTTCTGAAATTCTTTATGAAATATCTTAAAGATATTTCTTTAAAAGCTCTCAAAGTTGTCTTCTACGTCGATTTTAGATATTTTGCTCATTGAGTAACTAAAAAAAAATTACGAAAACTGCAAAATAATAGAGGACTTCTCGATTCTACCTGCTAACGAAGGATTATATAGTCATTATTGGACACCCTGTATATGTATTTATATTATATTGTATTATATTTTGAGAGAAGAGACATTACATGTCTTGCACGATTTTCTCTCTGTAATTCATCGTTCACACAAATATATTTTTAAGATGCGATTTACATATATATGAACATTGTATAATATCATTACTACTTCAAAAATACAAAGCGAACATTGATTTTATGCTAGCCGAATACGACATGTATTTTTTTTGTTGGATGGCACAAAAAATTGGAAATATCGTTAACAACTAATGTTCACACTTCCCATTCAGCTGTTTTACGTCAATCGGTTGCATTCGGATTTGTATAAGAGAATCCGCGGAAAACGCCTTGATCCATCGAAGTCAAAATCTGCTCAGGCACTGGCGTAAGTCTCGGACGTTCAGTCGTGAACGCTGTATCAAAGTATTTCGTATCCAAAGTATGATCAAGTGCGGGCTTAAACGGTGGTTCTAATTGCCTTCTTTCTAATCGATCCCAAGGCAAATGCTATGAAATCAAAATGTTATTTAACTGCTAAACTATACATGATATATTACTGCCTATATTATTTAACTATATTATTTAAAGAATTATACCTGAAAAAAAGCATGCACAGCAATTTCGTGAGCAGGTAGCCTCTTTCCAGAATCTTTCTCTAATAAATAGATGAGTATTTCGGTAGCTTCTTGACTTAAATATCGAGGTATAAACGGCCGTTCGTTACAAATGCTCCAAAACAACTCGTCCTCATCGCATCCAGAAAACGGCGATTGACCAGTGAGCATTTCATACAATAGAACACCGTACGACCACCAATCCACAGCTTGATTATACTTAAGCCCTTTTATTATCTAAAAAAAATGAATCATTACATAATTTTATCATTAAATAATTAATGATATTTTAATGAAAACATAGAGCGAAATAAAAATAAATTTAAAGAGAATTATGATGTACCTCTGGCGCCATGTAATCTGGCGTACCACAGAACGTATCGGCCGTTCTATCTAAGAAGATCTGAAGTTTACACATGCCAAAGTCCGCGATTCTAATATGACCCTCGAAATCGAGTAGCACATTGTCAAGTTTGAGATCCCGGTAAACAATACCCTTCTTATGTAGAAAATTCAATCCAGACCAGATTTCGGCAGCATAAAAACGCGCACGCACCTCAGAAAATCGGCCAGACTTCTGTATGTGGAACATTAGATCACCCCCATTGAGATATTCCATAACAAAAAAGAGATGCGAATCAGTCTGGAAAGTGCAAAATAGGTGACAAAGATACGGATGTCTAGTTGCCAGCGTGAGGACCTTCCTTTCAATTAATGTGCATTCAACATCGTCATCCTCGAGAACCACATCTTTCTTTAAACATTTAACTGCGTACACACAATCCGTGCCACGTAATTCCGCCAGCAATACTTTACCGAAGCTGCCTTTACCCAAGACCTACGAAATAGAATTAGAATCGTTATAGCATTCCACTTTATTTTATTGTATAAATCTTTAACAGAAATATAATTAAAAAGATATCTTGACATTCTATTAAGAAAGATGATAGAGTTGCGAAATTATGAGGTAAAATTATTTATCAAATGACTATAAAAATTATCTTTTATATATCTCTTTTCTTACCATTAAATCAACATAGCAAATTTTTTTTTCTCATATAATTAGCTATAATTTAATTTATATATTTTTTCGAATACTTTTTCTATTTTAATAATAAAAAAAATTAATTTTTTATTATTTTGATTGCTATAACATTTGATAACATTATGATTTTTTAAAAACTTAAATTTATTAAATCAGAGACAGATCCTTTTTAGAGTTCTAATTTTTAAAAATTATTAAATCAATTCATTATATTTCTTATTAAAAAAACATATGTAATATTAAAAAAGATATGATTTTATAAAAGAGCCTTTTAACAATTTTGATGTTATTTGGTATTACAATCTCATATTTCGTTTGATTCATTTTATTTTTTTTTATGTTTTTCAGAAACTAAAAGTAGAAAATTTTATCTTATTATACCAGAATAATATCAATGAGTGCATTCAGAGCTCCTATTCTTGAAAAGAAATGTATACGAGAAATTAAAGAAATACTATTGGGTTGGAAAGTTCGTGCCGACTAACCTATTAAACTAAAATTTAAATCTTCTGCGTTTCAATTTTCTTTCAACATCGGCACGAACTTTCCAGACAACCTAATATAATATACATTTATACGTATTCCAAAACAACAATCTCATTGGAATTCAGGCTTCATTAAATTCATGATTTTTTTATTACATAAATGCTCAATAAATAAATATAAATATTTGTAAAGCCATAATATC